GTAAGAGGATGAGACACCAGAATAACTTCGAATTCAGCAACGAAGATACTTTTACTACCTTTAGAACATAAGAAACTGGCTGGATTTATGAATTTCAGATATGTGATGAAAACATTTGTGTTGAAATCTGGGGAGCAGTCATTTATTTGACTCGAGACACTGGATATTGTTGTAGAGGTATTCTTAGATCTCTAAGATCATGTTTCAACAGGAGAACAAATATTCAGGGAGACTTCGTACGGTAAACAGTATGAAAATTTAATGTCTTGGGCAGCAAAGAGCTATTTTTACAGGCATGAGACACGCGCAATATTAATACAGGAAGTTCGTTGGATCTGAATCCTAATATTAAATTAGTGGTAAACCTAAGCTGCTGTAGCGGTAAATAATTCCCCAAAATTATTGACCACAGCAATCATCACTCAACATTGGATGCTGACCATCACTGTTTAAGTCGACTTGTTTAGCTGAAGGCTTACGGTCAAGCATCCCCGCCATTTGGTGCTTCGTCGTGTCACGTGCGTGCACGATTACTAGCTAGCTAAGCATTCATTCCTACCCGCGATTTGGTCCCAAAATATATATCGTATTTGGACGACAAAATCTGGTCTTTTGCTTTACCATTTGGTACTCGAAGAACGAACACTATAGTGGTTGTTGGTATAAGATCTTGCGTTAGTATAATCCGTACAGTTCGCGAACGTCAATACCTACAGCCCACCTAAACTGGTGAGCCCAACCACGAACTACATCTTCAATTCACACGCAGATAAACCCGGTGAGTTCGTTCCTTTTTGTGTTTATTCTTGTACTATATTGTTATCGGCATACGTTTCGTCATGAGTGATCCTAGCCCCAAAGTTATTCGGATTCGCTCAACCGCCAAAACAATCCAGCTAGTACCATTTTGGCCAGATAATGCTGAAACGTGGTTTCAGATTGCTGAGTCTGATTTTTGTGAACATGGCATAACTGATCAACGTTCACAGTTCCTTGCAGTTATTCACGCCCTACCGCGGGAATTCAGCAGGTGCGTAACTCTGCAGATGTCGGTAAGTAACTCGTACGAGTTGCTAAAAGCATCCATACTCAAGAGAAACGTTCTCACAGATCGACAACGTCTGGATGAGTTATTTCGTAACATCGAGTTAGGAGATCAGTCAGCCGTGAGCATGCTGGCAAGAATGAAAGAGATCATTGGCCAAAGTCAGTTCGATGAAGGACTGTTCAGAGAATTATTTTTATCCAAACTGCCACAGTCAGTTCAGACTGTACTTGTGACACTTCAGGGTGTTCTCATAGATGATTTAGCTGTCTCTGCAGATAGAATTCTAGAGATAACGAAACGGCCGGTTACTGAAGTATACTCTGTTACCGAACAGACTTCGAGAAAGGATTCTGCAATGATAGAGTTATGCAACTCCGTCCAGCAGATGCTTAGGTCAAACAAGCCTAGCAATTCCTCCTATCGTCGTTCTAAATCCCCTCAACGGCAAAGTGCACGTGGACGATCTAAGTCCAGCACACGCTCTCTCAAAAATCCTGACTGGTGTTGGTATCACAACACCTATGGCAAGGAAGCGAAATGTTGTCGAAAACCTTGTGATTTCGGCAAAGCCTCCAAGTCTGTGGGAAACTATCCCGCCGGCACGCGTTAGCGGCAACCGTCGCCGGTGGCACTAGCCGCTTACTTTACATCCATGATGTAATTAGCCAGACTAGATATCTAGTCGACACAGGCGCCGAAGTCAGCGTCCTTCCTGCTACAGCAGCAGATCGACAGAAGGATCCTAACTTCAACCTACAGGCTGCAAATGGAAAACCAATTGCAACCTATGGTCGGAAATACGTCTATCTGAACGTAGGTTTACGCAAACCTATTCGGTGGATTTTTCTGATCGCTGACGTCACAATGCCCATCATCGGCACGGACCTACTTAATCATCATGATTTGCTCGTAGACGTCCGCCGTAAACGATTAATTGACAACACTACTAGTTTGTCTATCAAAGGCATAACTTACAGTGGCCCCAGCTTGTCAATCGTTAAGATGAAAGCAATCCTCGATCCAACTTTTCAACCGATTGTTGATAAATATCCGGAACTGAATTGCCCATCTAACGACCTCCCGTGTATAACCAGCAATGTTATGCACCACATCATAACCTCAGGACAGCCCGTGACATCTAAAGCACGACGACTGGCCCCTGATAAACTGAGAATTGCCAGAAACGAATTCGATCATATGCTCACCCTTGGCATCATTCGGCCATCGAATAGTCCATGGGCATCCCCGTTGCATATGGTTCCAAAAAAAGATAGTAACGATTGGCGACCCACTGGTGATTACCGGCGAGTCAACGCCAAAACAACTCCTGATTGCTATCCATTGCCTCACATACACGACTTGACGGCAACGTTATCTGGAGCATCTATGTTCTCCAAAATCGACTTGGTTAAAGCATATAACCAAATCCCGATGGCTACGGAAGATATCCCGAAAACGGCTATCATTACGCCTTTCGGACTTTTCGAATTTCTACGTATGCCATTCGGCCTCCGGAATGCGGCACAAACATTCCAACGCTTCATCAACGAAGTATTTCGCGGTCTCGACTTTGTATACGCATACTTAGACGACTGCCTCATTGCCAGTCCAGATAAGGAAACTCACCTTAGACACTTGGACTTGGCATTTGAAAGGTTACGCCAACATGGCGTTACCATCAATATACAGAAGTGTCAGATAGGCGTTGACTCACTCGATTTTCTGAGTCACACTATTGACTGTCAGGGCATTCGCCCACTGGCTACTTCGGTCGATCACTCTAAGAAAACGCGTTCTGGACGTCACGTTAGATTCCCAGAATACCTTCACACCTATTTCACATAACTGAGTGACACATCAATTTTTTTATGTTGCGTCATTTAACACAAGTAAATGATATTTTTCCTATAACCGTACATAAAATTATATAAGATGTATATATTTTTTCCCGATATTTTGAACTTTACATTATTTTACTGTATAGTAGATGCATGTCATTTTTTTTTGGTAAAAAAAACGCTTATTTGGTACATTTTTCTTGACAAGGTTCTCAGCATTCTTGTTTTCTTTTCCAGGTGCAACGGGCACTGGACAGTAAACAAACGAAGCACGGGATCCAACGAACAACACTGAGGAAGCTATGTACAGACACCCTATTAGCATAGGCAGACAGACCAGCAGGCTCTCCATCAAGCCGCTTGGAAGATTTTTTTCACCCATCAGGGAACCATCGAGATTTTTTTACTTCCGGCTGGTCATGTCTTAGGGTCCTCACAACCCTACTAGGGGGGGAGTGAGCTGTAGCGGTAAATAATTCCCCAAAATTATTGACCACAGCAATCATCACTCAACATTGGATGCTGACCATCACTGTTTAAGTCGACTTGTTTAGCTGAAGGCTTACGGTCAAGCATCCCCGCCATTTGGTGCTTCGTCGTGTCACGTGCGTGCACGATTACTAGCTAGCTAAGCATTCATTCCTACCCGCGATTTGGTCCCAAAATATATATCGTATTTGGACGACAAAATCTGGTCTTTTGCTTTACCATTTGGTACTCGAAGAACGAACACTATAGTGGTTGTTGGTATAAGATCTTGCGTTAGTATAATCCGTACAGTTCGCGAACGTTCGATACCAGCCCCCTAAACTGCCATGATTTTAAATAACCAGAATGTTAACAAGCGTTTCCTTCAGTAAATAATTATATGGTGACGTTTTTTGTTTAATAAAACAAGTTGCAGTTAAAAAGCTTGTGTCGAAATAATGGTGCTAAAAGAAGCTTATTGTCCATCGATTTAAACAGCTTACTTTTGTTCGAGAAATGCGTTATGGCTTATGACACACTACTAAGGCTGTTTTAACTATCAGATGAATTAGATAAGTGTTGAGCCTGTTCTAAGAGATAAGCAGGAATCATAGACGCCTATGAATACCAAGTCTAGCGTTTTATTCGAACGAATACTAAATATAATCATTTTCTCGTAAAAAAGAGATCTGAGGAATCTGAAACCAAATAAATTGAAATGTAAGCAGACTATAAACAAGGAGATGTCCTGAATTAAGCGAATACATGGAGATAAGGAATGCTTAAATCCGAAAAACTACAGTCATGTGTTATATAAATTATTTTCACGTAGACAGACGCGTTCGATTATCCGAATGTTCCTGAGTCGCCAAAAGCGCAAAGCAAGCTGTCAAGGTGAACGAATCCATGAAATCAATACCACACAACTTTGTAGGCATTTCATATCAAATGCCAAAATGTGCATAATAGATGAACTGGCTGTGCTAAAGGTACTCAGCAAAGCATCTGCACCGTTTGACAGGCTTAAATGCTACGTGCGGTTATTCGTGAACGATTTAAAGTTAATCAAACACTAATTCTAACCCAAGAATTACAGTAAAATTCGTTTAAAAGCATGTGAAAAATTGTATGATGCAGGATAATTCTCTATGACCTATAACAGAAGTGTTTCTCAATTTCTCATTAGATGACGCACTAAAAAGTTGAACGGCATTCTCTTAACGTATTCGTACAGGTGGCTATATATGATGACGCTCTGAGACACTTATATTTTTCATTCCATACGTCAGCGTTCGCCAAAACCTTTAATGGAATTAGTGTAGGTCTGTGGTAGAGTTAACTTAACCCGAAAAATAATCAAAACGGTATGGAATATATCACGAATTTGCAGCACTCACACTCAACTTCTCATATTGGAACTGCTTCCATTCTGATTGATCGTTTGAGGTTGTTTCCCTGACAGGTTGCTATTATTTGATTTCACAGGAATTTCGAAGTCTGAGAAAGTTCCTAACGAAAATACCGAAAGATTAATTAAGAATTTGAAAGCCGATAATATGACTTGAAAATAATTGTGCACTTCCAATGACCTTGAGCATGCGGGACCATTTCAGCCGAAACGTACTGGTGGTATCAATTGAACATAAGACAAACAATCCGTTGATAGCGGGAGTTCTGAAACAATACGCTACTTTTTCTCCAAGATGTCATGCGAGGATGACAAGCCGACTATCAATAAGGAATTCCTTACTGGTGTTGTTGAGGGTATTTTTTCTTATTTCTCTTTTATTGTGTATCAGGGTTTTATGGTCGCCCGTGGACATATCCTCAACGCAAGGAACTGTTTAGGAGGATGAATCAAATGGGGATGAATGCCTACTTGTATGCTCCTAAGGATGACATTAAACACAGACAGTCATGGAGGGATTTGTATACTCCTGAGGAGGAGCAGCAGTTGCAGTACCTGATCACAGAGTCTACAGATGCTGGAGTATTGTTTATTTTTGCAATATCACCTGGCTTAGATGTGACATTTTCTAGCGCGAAGGAAGTAGATATCCTGAAAAAGAAAGTTGATCAGGTTAGTAAAAACCTATATTTTTATAAAGTCGGCTTTGATTCAATGCATCCCATGATTAAGCTAGTGGTATCCTGGATAGGGAGAGTTGTTTAAATTTCAATACTCATGGCACCACGTAGGTATATGTTAAGCTAAAATAAGGTTGCATCTTTCTACTTTATGATAATGAAAAAAATAAGTGACTCAAAATTGTTTTTTAACCAGCTGTCTGCATGTGGAAATATTTTCATTTCACACACCAAGACATTACCTTCGAAACACTAAGCCCAGGAATTAGATAATAATCCACCGGATTTTCAAATGCAGTGGCCATTCATTTCCTTTGTGACAGAGATGGAGAGCTTTTGTTTCTTGTCTCTTAGCGTGGACATTTGCAATTCTTTTAGATGTAATTGCTTTTTCAGAAATTATGAGACTGAAATCTACACATTTTGTTTCCATTCATTACATTTGAGCAATTCACACCATAGTAGTTGTAGAAATCCTGAAGGATATGCTGTGATTATAAGCAGTAAATTGCGTTTAAAACGTCATTCAGTTACTAACACGATCTATGAGCTATCAAATCTAATATAAAATTAAATTCGCGGTGTCCAAATTTCTACTCTTGTATTGGTTTTGAGGTAATTGGATCTCCAGTTTACACGCGTAGGCTAGAATGAATTTCCATCTGTTTTTGAGAAGGGAAGTTATTAAACCGGAACTGGAGTACGGCAGTTTAATCTCTAAAGTGAACTTTGTTTGTTTTGCCTACTACAGACATATCATTGCTTAGCGCTCTGCCACAGGATTTCACTTTGCTTTATCAGTTGTATTTAGCGAAATGTATGTGGGTTTGCAATTTTGGACGTAATACTCATTTTTAAGATTCATTGTTAGCAGTTGTAACTAGATAAATGCTTTTGTTTTAGGTTTCTAAACTTGGTTGTAGAGCATTCGCTCTTCTCTTTGATGATATTGAACCACGGTTGTGCCCTGCAGATCGAGAGGTATTTAGCTCATCAGCCCGTGCTCAAGTTATGTTTGCAAACGAGATTTACAACCACTTAGGATGTCCAGATGTATTTTTGTTTTGTCCAACAGAGTATAGTGCAAGTCTAGCAGTACCCAATATAAACAAATCAGAATATCTAGCTACGGTCGCTTCTTGTCTAGCCCAAGGTAATGTTTTTTATTTATATTGAGTTTTAACAACATCTGCTTATGAAATATGACTTCTGTGGTAAGATTTTCATAAAAATGGTTTGAACTAGCAGTTTAGGCACTTCCTGAACATAAGCAAAGTATACTTCGGCAATTCTTAGGTATTATGGCGTGCCGTTCATCCAAATACTCACTAAGAACTAGGATTACTGCACAGTAATGCAGCAATTAGTCTGAGAAATTTGGCTGTTTTAAAGAATACAGGAAAGCTATTTGGAATTCGTTGGGCCCATGTCATAGGTTAAGTGCACTGGAATAACTGTGGTACTAATATAGGTGTACAAAGACCAACATAAATAAGATGAAATGATTGATTCGATTGTTATTCTTAAACAACTGAAATAGTGTATCCAGGGCCAGTGTTGGGATTTTTAACACCGTCCTACCTAAGTGAAGGTCCGAAGGTGACCTCAACTAATCTGGTGCGAACTAAATGTCCCATTGATGTTGAATATAGTTATCACCGCGTCCACCTTTGAAAACGACCAGGTGTGTCTGGAATGTTGATTGCTATTGGTATTTGTGAGCTATGTAAAACGCCTAAAAAGTGATTCGTAAAGAGCATGCTGGGTTTCGTTCAGATTATGGATGTGTCAACCTCATATTCACTCTACATTAATTGTTAGGGTATCGTCGCATTTAATGCAGGTCTAAGTTCATTTCATTTCTTGATATCCAGGCCCCTTTGTTTGTTGGATATGACTGCTATTTGAAATTATCGGAAAAATGTCCCTGAACATCCTAAAAAGCCATGTACAAACCACTTCTGATAGAGTACAACCACCTGTCAATAATATTTTCAATCAACAACGGGCTGAATAAAGTTACTCGATCTAGCCATTTCTCTTTGACTTTATCATCGAAAACATCTAAAAAGTATGTGCGTAGTGGTGGTTTATAGCTGTAACCTGGAGGACTTTTCCACCCTTAGCACGCATATGATGTCGTTTTACTGCATATGGTATCAGTGTATGTCCTTTTCACCACCAAAGTGCAAAGTGCTGTTGCAAAATTGGCAGGAGTTGCGTTTGCACTCACCCTCTTAGGTCAATCGTTGGAAGTAGTCAGAAAGTTCACTTGTATTTCAGTCAGGTATTCGCTCCGCGAAATTATTTTGCTTAACTGGAATCTTTTACCTTCAAAACTTCTCTCTGAGTAAGATTATGGGTTTCAGTGCTCTTAATCCATACTATGCTAGGTATTTTACAGGTACTTTTATCTCCTAGTTGTTCTGCAGTTGTTAGTCGCGTCATTACTTAGCGAAAATCCCTATCTACAATTTAGATAATAAATTGTTTAAAGAAATATTTACTTTTCGATTATCCTTACATCAGTGGTTCAACTCATGCATATATATACATATCACACCAGGGAAATTCGTACAGCAACTGAAGGCTAAAATTTGTGCATTGTGTAACCACCTGTTATAATACTTCTACCCTTTAATTACTGGACCAATTTTCTTGGTTAGTTATGACCCCTTTAACATGTTAATATGAACTAATTATTGTTAATCAACATGTCACCACTAGATTGTTGAATTACGTAGTGTCATATATATATATATATATATATATATATATATATATATATATATATATGATACTCGACGAGGACTTGATTGGAAAGTAAATATTTCTCTCAATTTGTTGACGTTATTATTTGCCTTTTCCTCTGTCTTAAACGTCTAGGATTTCTGAAAGGATATTTGTTTTGATTAGCAATAATTTTTTGATATATTTGAATGATCTACTTAAGCTTTATGAATCATGAGTTAAAGTGTTTGCGTGACCGCTTGAGAATTGTCTGGAGTTTTCCTCATATTGTCATAAAGTTAGGTGACGTAAACACGTCTAAAACAATAAACGTCTTCTCTTTGCTTCATTTTAAAAATCGACGTAAGTATTCAACACCGTTGACCCCACACCTTGTAAATAAATTAGGTTTTGTCTACTGCTGGGTTTATGTATTAAGATAATTGAGGACGTATTCATATGCTTCAGAGTATGGTCATTTTTAGTTAAAAGCAGAATGAGTCATTTACTTATATTAAAGGTGGGTTTTGATTGTAGAGAACAATAACTAGTCCCAGCGTCTTACAGCATTATTTTTAGTGCAGTTGTCTTAAAACAGAATAACTTAGTCAATTTTTGTGTTACGCTTCGTATATCCTTCATTTAATCATAATTATAATCATGTATTTTTCATAATTTCAAACTCATTACTCTAGTTTTTTGTTAACTTTAATTTGGCCGTTGTTTTTCATTTCCAGCATATAACCTTTCAGTTTGTTCGTTCAGTTTCCTTACATGGCTAAAAGGTTTCTTGCAAATATTTATACCTTTATTCGTCTGCGTTCACCATTGTTTCTACAAGCCACTTGTTTTCTCTGAAAAAATCCCGCGTGTTCTTACTAAAACATGGTTTATGTAATTATGTGTCTGTTTCTGTTGGCGTAATGAGTTCTCTTTGAGATCGTAGGTTTCACTGAGCTTTGCTTGCTGTAATCTTGTCTCATTTTTCAAATACTATGGAGGAATATTCCAGAAGTATTTTTAAGTGTGTACACTTAACTAGTTAAATTATAATTGTTAGATGGCACTAAGAAACTTTCTGTGTTGTTTCGAACGAAAAAAAACTAAGTATTGTTGTAGGTTAAACTACTTTTCTTTAAAACATTAGTTGAGGTTGATATCAAGGTCCTGTGTATATGCGACCTTAGTTTATGCACGTTATAAGTCCGGTGTGTGCATGATAATTAACTTTTAAATTGCTTTCAGGCATTGCTGTGATATGGACTGGTCCACTTGTCGTATCCAAGCGTATTTTAACCAAAGAGCTTCAAGAATTATCTGCCTTACTGAAGCATCCTATCGTTTTGTGGGACAATCTCCATGCTAACGATTATGATCAACGTCGTGTATTTATAGGACCGTACAGTGGTCGACCTTTAGCCTTACGCCGAAAAGGCTTACTCAGAGGAGTACTGACCAATCCAAATTGTGAATTTGAAGCAAATTATGTGGCGTTGCATACTCTTGCACAGTGGTCTAGGTAAATTTTAGTTCGTTGAGTCTTTGGCATTTTTATTTTGCACTTCATATTCCTTAACTATAATAATCTGCACTTTTTAAATTTCTTTTTTTGCCCCATTGTGGTTTTTAAGTGTGAGTGTGATAAGCCTGCTCTGTTTTACACGTGAATTTTTCTCTCTATGGACTTGAGATCCTGCAACTGCCACTGCCATCCAGAATTGAGGTGCTTTGAAATAATTGGTCCTCATTATTAAGCCACGTGTTGTATCTCAAGTAGGAGCCTAGCTTTAAACAAATAAGATGATTAGTGGGTGTTTACCTTAAGTCAGTCTGGTTAGTGATCGCACTTAGTTGCTGTAATTAGTGTAACCAATGGTACTTTTCATGTATATTTCGTGTGAACAACCCTGAAATTGAAAACTTAATGAGGTTAAATTCTGGGGAATATTTTCAGCATGGATTAAAGATGTCATAGTCATTTTTAGGTGCAAAGAAGGAGAAGGGTTACTGAAAATGCCGCCTAGATTCATTCCGAAATGTATGACAAGGAAAATTTAAGCTTAGGCGGCAACACAATCACAAAACAAATGTTTCTTGTTTATTTGATAGAATTTCACATAAGATACCATGAGATAATGTTCGTGGGGTTGTAGTCGTAACGAATACATGTACACGAACTGTTTTTGAAGCTTATTTAAGTGATCTTATTAAATATGGTTGTTTGTCAAATGTAATGTACTGTCTGTTGCATAATGCACTTTTTGGGATAAATGTCAGACCATTTGATGGAAATAAATGTTATGACAAAGTGAAGATACTCTCAACAGATTCCGTGATGATCAAAAAGAAGTTACTTTGCTACATTTTTTTTCTCATAAGTTGTCTTCTGTCTTAGAATGTGTCTTAAAATTTAGTCGACATAAGACTGTTCTTGGTTCTCATTTGATGTGTCATTACTATTTTAGTAAGTTCATGAGGATCTCTAAGCTCTGTAATGTTTTTGAGAATCAAAGCCTGTGGGATTCTTTCTCGAGTTTAATAGTTCATAGGACTGAGTTATTGAAGTGAATCAATATGTAATATAGACCTTTCCCTTACGAATGTACTGATAGTCGTATTGTGCTTCATGGTTATATTTCTGGTTGACTCTAATATACATTTGGTTTGTTATCAAAAAAAAGTAATACAACTATATTTCTTTATTCAGACAAGCTGGGAACAAAAATGTCATACAGTCGACAGATACAGAAATGACAGGTACGAATGACGACCTCGAATCTAATGCTTCTGACGATAATGATATGATTGATGATGGCATTGATGACCAGAAGTCAGACAGCGTTAACGAACAATCCTCTTTGAGTCAGGATAACTCGTCAAGTCGGAAGCATTTACATGGTGCTGTTTACAGACCCCGTGAAGCTCTCCACATAGCTTTGCGAGACTGGCTTGCATTGATGCTACAGGTTAGTACGGTACATATGTTTATCATTGGAGTTGTAATAGTTTAATGTAAACCTTAGTCACCTAACTGAGCTCAACAAGATACAACCAGGATATGGAGAGTTTTATTTCGTACTAACTGCTACTTAATATTTCATCTACACACTAATAATATTGTTCTAACATTAGCAGTTCAGACACAGTTTGTTGTCCACGAAAGCCGCTTATCTTGGTGTACTGGTTTCATTAACAGGAGCAGGGCTATTTTAACACATATATGCTGTCCTTTGCTTTCAAAGCCAGATTATCGTCTTTAATTTGAACTGAATTTTACGGAAAGATAAATTCTTATAGCTAGCCGGCTTTAGTTATTATAATATAAATTTGACTAATATTTTGCAAATGATTTATGAATTGTATGATTCACTGTAATGGTTTTTCAACCATTCATTTATTTTAGCTGTTGTTTATATATAACAGGCTTTATGAAACTAAAAGGATTTTATTATCAGTTATACTTAATACTGTTTTTTAAAGGCCATCAAATTTTGTTGCATACCTGCATTCTGGCTTTTACGTCCAACAGTATTATGTCAACTAAAAAGTTTTATTAGAAAGTTGGAAACATTTTTTTTCTTTCACGTTTCCCAGTGGAACATAGGGCTTCAAGCTAGTGGCTTGAAGTTTCTGTAGCATTGTTTATTTTACAGGATGGGGTTGCTAGCCTCATGCCCAACCTTTCCTCTTCACCAGCATTATTTCTGGCTTAGCAAGGTAAAGGAGTTCATCGGCCGGGGATCGAACCCCGGACCATGTGCATGGTCGGTGAGCGTCCTAACCGCTATGCCACCGACGCACATCAACACAGAAAAAGGGATCCACGGCAATATAACGTAAAGAAATAGGTATAATTTCGTTTAGGATATGACTTTGTAGTCTTCTGTGAACAGATTTAGGATTGGTAAAACTTTGTATCAAAGTGTTTTTGACAGGCTTTATTACCAAGTCATACAGTAAGAGTTGTTTGTGACTGTATGTGATTAATTATTTTGTTATTTATTTATTTTTTCCTTCACGTTCCCCAGTGGAACATAGGGCTTCAAGCTAGTGGCTTGAAGTTTCTGTAGCAGTGTTTATTTTACAGGATGGGGTTGCTAGCCTCATGCCCAACCTTTCCTCTTCACCAGCATTATTTCTGGCTCAACTAGGTAAAGGAGTTCATCGGCCGGGGATCGAACCCCGGACCATGTGCATGGTCGGCGAGCATCCTAACCGCTATACCACCGACGCACATGTGATTAATTAGTTTGTACTATTACGTTTAGATTTAGTCAAGTAGTACTACGGGATTCTCTTCATCATTAACGATTCTCCACATACACATCAACTAACCTCGGTTTATATCGATTTATCTCTTTTGTTCTGACATTCTTGTTAGTTATTAGCATCATTTACTTGTCAATACACTTGTATTTCTTGATGTCATATACCTGTAGGATCAGCAAACAATGGCCGGTGCTTCGAAACCCAGTACAGCTATAGGCACTCCTACACCCATGGACACTGATAATATAGAAACTGTTGCACAAAATGAAGCTGCTATGCAGGTGAGTGAAAAAAAACAACAACACACTTCTGATTATTTACTTTCGTATGTCTCTAAAACGTGGTGGCTGTTAAGTTTTGTGTGACGTTTTATTAGTTTACTTTCTCAATGATGATCAGAAAGTATTGATTATTGTTTTCAAACTGAATCATATGCTTTTAACTAATCATCAAAATTGGATGATCTAACTTCCAGGGTTGTTTGTTAGTAGTCGAACGTCGAGATGTTGTATTGCTTAAATCAAGCGTCCGGCCTCAGTCCCATACATATTTTACACTATTATGTGAGGGTGTTCAGTTGTATGCTGCAGCCGATGTGTGAGTGGTATTACCGTTATCGTACAACAGTCACAAAACAAAGCAGTTCTACTACTGATAAAATACTGTCGAAGTATCATAACTATTAATCGTTGTCGTAAGTATTTCTCACTTATTGTTTCACCTAATTACTCTTATTTCGTAGATTGAATCTCCCCCTTCCAATGTGGTCATGAGCTCTGATAACACTTCTTCTGAAACAATTAATTCAGGTTAGTTGGAAAATTTTGACGACTAATAGGCATCGCATATACTTTTGCTTATCTGTTTTTTGCTCTCTAATATTTCTCACCATTTAAGCAAGTTCGTCGACTTTACAGCTCATCCTGCTGGTGTTTTGGTCTTGGTTACCTCTTGTGGAATTTTGTCTATCAGTGAATAATAAATAAGTTGGCCTTCATAATGTTCAAATGTGAATTGGAGGAACTGCTTTGTTAATCATAGTGAATTTATTTAAACAATACTATATATGTGAAGCCTTTGAACTGAAGACAGGAGTAAGACAAGGCCTCCGACTATCACCGATGATATTCAACAAAAAGAAGCATCAATCAGCATCAATGGATGAAATTTAAAAGGAGTCACTTCTTTCACTTGTCAAAACAGTATCATTTCAACTACAGATGGTACGGGTAGTGACGTCAAAGGTAAAATGAGAAAAGGAAGGCAGATTTAAATTACACTGAAATCAGTGTGCACATATGCTAGACCCAACATAAAGAACAAGATTCCATTTGCAACACCAGTGTGAAGTCGATTCTTGTATATGATTCAGAGACAATGCATGCATCACCAGAAGCATTTCCAACAGGCTGCTCCAGACGTTCATCTACAACTGCTCCACCCCATACTGAATGTCAGATGGCCAGAGAGGAATAGAAACAAGGATCACTGGGAATTAAGTAACCAAAAACCTGTCGCCTAATGAATATGCTAGGGAAAATGGGGGATGGATTGGACATGCTGAGAAGACTGTGACATCGCCCGCCAGGCCATTGCTCGAGTGAAACCTGGGCTGAGCGTCCAAGAGTAACAAGGAGGATATCGTGTAAGGAGATGAAGGCTTATGGACAATCGTCGAGTCAGTTGAAAAGGACTGAAGGGAACAGGATGAAATAGAGATGTGATGTTGAAGCCCCCTATGCTGCAGTCGCAACCCCACCGGGATAATAATATGACAATCATAGACGCTGTCAGTACGCTGTTCTGTCTGTTGTTTGTCCCCAATCATCTAAAGGCAATCATTAATAAACAAGTGCATGAACTTAATGAATTCGAAGCTTTCAAATGTGTCTACTAATTTATTCACAAAAGACAAGAATAAAGAAAACTGCATTCCGAAAGCAATACAGAGTTTTATGTGGTTTTATTTTTGCTTGTTTTTTTCTTCTCAAATAATAATTATATATATAGCCAAAGGGTTTACACTGTAATTATTCCGTGTCATTATTACTGTTAATGTGTTGTTATCTTTTAGCATGATTGTTGATTATAATTTCAGTTGAAATGAGTAAGTGAGAAGTCGATTAATAAAGTCTCTTGTGGTGACTTATTTTTTTAAAAACTAAAAACACTCATTAATCAGAGCTTTGGTAGACTTTATCGTATTTTTATTATTATTATTTTTGTCTTAACATATTATTTCGCCTCTTACCGTTATTTTGACTAACTTCAGTTTCCCTCTGATTTGGCATTATTTTGTCAGGTATATTTTTCTGTTGAGTTAGATAGCGCTATTACTAATCTACAAATTACTTATCATTATTTGTCCTTGTATCTTTATAATTTTTATTAACGTTTTTAGTTTGCATTCATTCATGTTTGTTTGTGTTTTTTTTTTTCGTTCAACAAAGTCATAAAGTAATTTCTTCTTTTGTTTAGGTGATATGAATTCAGTTGCTGTTACTTTAGAAGACTTGGAATTGTTCGCTGACTTATTCTATTTACCTTTCTCTCATGGACCTGCTGCTGTACGACTTCTTGAATTGGGACATTGGTTACGTGAATACTCTTATGCGTGTGGACCTAATCCTTCTGATCCTGAGGTATTGTAAATTCTTTAAGATATCTAATAAAAGCATTGCACTTGTTAACTTACATCAGAACAACTGTTATTTAAGAAATTAGTTTGTAATAGTTTTAAGCGACACGTTTGTATTTCTGGCTTGAATATGTATTCGTCTACCATTATTATTTATTACTTATTATTTTTTCCTTTACGTGCCGAGTGGGACATAGGGCTTTAAAGTTTTGGCAGCAGGGGTCTTATTTTTAATGAGGTGGGAGATTGCTGGCCTCACGCCCAACCTTCTCTCTCTACCGGCGTTACTACCGGCTTTGTGAGGTTTAGAGGTGTGTCGGTCGGGGACCGAACCCTGGGCCATGTGCGTGGTTGGCGAGCTTTCCACCGTTGAACCATCGCCTATAAGAAAGGTCAATTCTAGTTTTCGTAGTTTAAAACTAAAGATTAAGTGCTGTTTTAGCTAGTCGAATATTAAGAAAGTAGAAGTGTAACTTTTGCTGTTGTACTGGCTTTATGCTTTGATTAGTCGAATGTGTTTGATATTACCATTACTCAATAGTTTACGAGATCCATGTTTGACTCAGTCTGATGTTTTTGTTGTTGTCCCCTACCTTTTCCTCCGTTTTGTGTTATTTTTGGCACTCATAATAGATTTTCGTCAACTTTCTTTCTCCGAATCAATATTATGATTTGTATTGACGGTTATGTTCATTAAGTGATAAAGGATGTTAAACCCCAGTTATCAATAATTGACTGAAATATATGTCATTGTGGTCAGGTAGCTTGTGTGCATAATTTAAATCGAGAAAGCATTTAGTATTCGATTCACCATGTAGATTGTTGAGAACTTTTAGACCATAGCTTTCTGTCTGTGTTTATATTCACCGTCGCCCATGCTGCCAATTACCCTTCACTGTTTGATGTCATTATCAATAATCTGTTCTCCATGGTTTCAAAACGTAGTAAATTAGTGCTTCTGAATGCAATATAAAGTCAGCTTTTTAAATTCTTTATTTCTTCATTCACTGGACAATTTAATGCTTACTTTTTCCCGAATATTAATATGGTTGCAGTTGATGCTTTCCTTTTGAAAAGTCTCCTCTTTGTGTTACTTGTGTGTGTGTGTGTTATCCATCAGATTCGGTGTATGGTAATCCATTACCGATTGCGGTTATATTGGTAATATTAGATAGTTGGAGGCAATCGGCAGGAAGCCTTGGACCTAGGTTTCGTGCTAGTTGGCACTCACCAATCAGCAAGGCGTATCTGCAACCATGAAGGAATTCATGTCAGCAGATACGCCTTGCTGATTGGTGAGTGCCAACTAGCACGAAACCTAGGTCCGAGGCTTCCTATGGCCGATTGCCTCCAACTATCTAATATCATCAAATCAATGTACACCGTGATGGTCAGCTACGTAGAATGGTGGCCATATTGCAAACCTGACTGATAGAATTCAGTCTGCACCAAAGAAAGGACTAGACACGTTGCACTAGTTATTAGTGTCCAATCAAAATATGTTGGTCATACTTGTGATAGAATGAAAATGCTACTATCTGTTTCTAATAATTTGATGAGAAAACGATTATATAAGTACACTTGCTAACCTGTAACTCACAACTATAACCAAAAGCTTATAGTTTTGCCAGAAATCAGTAGAATTGTTTTTATTTAGTTATTGATTCACTTAAGTTGTGTAGTGATTCCCTTATATGAAGAGTATGAACTTAAATGTCGTATAATTATCGCATAATACGTGGAATTAGTAGAAATCTCATATGAATTATTGTCTAACCTCTAATTATATAATGATATTAAAGTTTAATCTGTGAGTTTTGTTCTTTTCATTTTACTGAAAGCTATTCAGTTTTCATCAGATTTGTAATTTTCGTCATGTAAATATGCTGACGTTGTAATAAACAGGCATGAGTAGTATTTAAAAAGGGATGATAATTAAGTGAAAATTAGGAGACATGATAAAGAGTGAATACATTTCCACCACCCCATTTTATCGAGCCTCTTCAAATGTCTATTCATAATATCTCCCTAGGACTCTATCTAAGCGTTTTATATTAACATTGTCCGACACTTCATGCTTTCGTAGATTAGTAGTTTATTTTTGTCCAGTAATCCTTAATTTCCTGTATAATTTTGCTTTAGCTTAGAAATGTCCCAAGCTACTCCCCTAGTAGAGACTCACAGTTTCATTGATGAACTTTCTTATTGCACATAACACTGTCTGATCTCACGTATGCTTATTCCATTATTCCAGCATATATGGACGAGGCTATACAGACATCTGTTTTTTGTATTATATATTCATACCTAAAAACCTGTTTTTTTTTAAAATATATGTATAGAAAGCAGCTGAATGGAACAAAAAGCTATCAGATTATGCAGAAATGGTATCTACAATTAGTCGTGTACGAGACCGTATACAACGTTTACCTTCTAAGAGTATTGCTTATGAATTAGCACCATATATAACAGAAGTTCATACTGTGGTCGGCATTATCCTTGACTATTTTCGATGGTTAGGTAAGCAATATTTCTTTTTTTTGACAATTAACTTTCCAAATAATTTATCACTAAACTATGTTTATAGATATTCATTTGATTTGCTACTTAATACCGTTTTAAAATAGCTACTTATACCAGCCAATTGTTAACTACTATACTATTATTATTATCTTGGGTTCCGAGTGGAACATAGGGCTTCAGAAACACATCTCCACTTTCGTCTACTTCCCGCTGTCGTCTTCAGCTGGCTAGCTACACGATTGCCTATAATCTCTCATCTCCTCGCACGATCTCCTCCATGTCACCCTCGCACCGACAACCCACTCGTCGTTTCCCATTGGGATTCCACTCGAACAATGGCCTGCATTGTGCACGATGTCATTCGGCGGTTTCCTCAGTGTTCGCCCGATCCATCTCCATTTTCTCCTACATATTTGAGCAATCAGCTCTTGGTTGATTTGTTGCCATAGTTTCTTGTTGCTAATTCTTTCTGGCCATTCGACCTTCACCTAGTTTACTAGCTCTCTAGTTTTCTAGCCGGTCCGAAACCCGGGAAAAGAGGGGGGGCTGGGTGTGGGGCTAGCCACCCTACCCCAGAAAACCAATCAAACTGCTACGAAAACTTCAAAGCACAAGAGAAATATTCCTAACTACTGATGTATTATTATTAGATTTAATTGCATTAAATTGTTTGTTTGCTGTTTACCCATTATAAAGTCGTGCCAATGAGTAAGGAGTAGAGGTGAGCACTATGACAGAATTTAATTCCACAGTAGATATGTTTATTTAAAAGCACATAATTATGCAGTATTATTAACTGTCTAGCGTTTGACTATAAACAATCAATAATGCTTGAAACGTCATTCATTTAATTATACTGTATCACACTGTTCTACAACAAATAAACTTATCTAATATCAAATAAGGTCATTCTATTGTTTATGATTTTCATTCTATTCTGCTGTATTGTTGGACTCTATAGGCATTGCACTAGACTTAAACTTTAAGTGAACATCATTTATAGTCAACTTAAAATGCTTTAGATGCGATAAAAAGTTTGCCTAGTTATAGATGCTCAGTGAAACAATCGTGACGGTTGACAGTTGTTTAAACATTGGAGAAGATTTATAGCTCAGATGAATGATTTAGATGTGGTATTGTGTTCTCTGAGGTGGGTGATTTAACTGTGAGACTTTCGCTGTCTTTCTAGACAACATCTTCAGCGCAGACATCAATCTGAAGTGAACTCATTTGAATTCTCCGTGAATAATATAACCATCCCTCCTGACTAACAACTACCTTTAGTGTGATTGGTTGCTGGTTTGCTTTAGTACTGACTTTATTGACTTGGAATTTGAGTGTTTTTTGCCATGACTTATTCTTTATTACTTGATAAATTTGATCGATAATAAATGATGTGTCTGTTGGTCGCAGATTCGTCTGAGTACTTGGCTGCATGGAATTCCCACTGTTTACGATTCCTCCATTTTCTTATGGATGTCTATATACATTGATATAAAAGGATACATGTCTTTTAACAGGCTAGTTTATGTTCTCGGACTCGGAGTCGAAGGGGACACTCACTTTGATTACTATAGTGCTTGTTACAGTTCATGCAATTTATTTTGTAGATGGCGTTGGCCTTGTCTTGTTTTGCTGTCTAGTCTTTTGGCCTGCATAGTATTGAATGAAGTGACTATGTTTTGCGTGATATACCTCTTCCGAATGGTTTTGGTATTCTAGCCGTTATTTCAGAAACATTCTTAATGTATGGTAGGATGAGTTTTCTTTTGATTTCTGACGATAGTTTCTTGCTGGCAGTTGGATTCGAGTCTAAATATTTTTTGATAGAATTGTGACGGCAACAATTTTACTTGAGGGCAGTTTCTCCTCTATTCTTCTCAGGACTAGAGTGCTGCAGTGTGTGTTTTGAGTAATTTTCGTACACAGTTTCTTTATTCTGCTATTAGTTTATTGTTGTTGTAGTCGAGCATTTGGTCTTTGGGGGTTAACTTCCTGTATACCTGTGTTTTGTCTACATTTCCTGTATTTTTTCTCTTGACTTAGAGAGTAGTTATGCTGTGTGATTATTCTCTTGTGAATTTGATATTTTGAAACACCTTTATTAACTTGTGAGTGCTTTCTGAATCATTTCTTCTAATTATGACAAAACCTTATTAGTGCATTTGAAACCTTAAGGATTTGGAGTGGAAATTTCTTAATCTTTATTTCTTATTGGTGAGTATTTTATTTACTTCTTCGGCACTGAAACCAAAGATTCACTCATGTTCAGTCTACAGAAGTCTCATTTGTGTAAAATAGTTTTTTTTTTAAAATATGCATAGCCCATGTTTTAAGTGTTCTGTAGCTGTAATCTAGGCGATAGTCTGTAGAATTGATACTCTACCTCATTTGGTTGTACATCATATTGCACCCATTAGAAAATCTTCGTAACATAGTGTTTTCCATGAAAAGTTTGCAGTGATAAACGTGACCTGCCTACACGAACACTTTGAAAACTTTTTTCCTAAACTCTTTCTTTCTTGCTAGCTTTAGTAGTTGAACTCGAGTTCATCTTCTTTGTCCACTTCATTGTCATGTGTTAAGCTTGTATGTAAGTTGATGTTTATAAAGACTTAGTAATATGCAAGTATTGGTTTTGTAGGGATTTGGTTTGATTGCATGGATGATGAAACCCTCCATGCAATCAAACCAAATCCCTACAAAACCAATACTTGCAAATTAATCTGATGCTCACTAGTGACTGGCCCTATTCAGGCAGTTAACCTGGGGTTCTAGTGGGAAGCCGTGACCAGTAGGGTACAGCAGGTCGAAGATGAGGACAGTTACTCACGAAGAAGACATTGCGAAATGGTCGCGCTATGTCGTGAATTGGCAGAAGTTAGAATTCAAGGACCATTGGATCGGGTCCCAGTGGCTCAATGGTCTACGAGCTCGCCTCGTAACCAGTAGGTCCTGGGTTCGAATCCCGTTGGGCGCGTACTGCTGAAGAGTCTCAAACTAGGACGAAACAGCTGTCCAGTACTCCCAGCTGGTTTTCCAGTGGTTCTCTAACTGATGTCAGCTCATGATGAAACCCTCCACTTAGTAATATCCTTATTCACTGACGTAGTGATACAATTTATAACTTTCTTTGTTTGTATTATATGGGTCAGTGATATTATAGAGTTCTGGTGGTAAGCTGAAGTAAATCCCCTATCTGCCTACAGACATGCATTAATGAAGGCTATTGGTTATAGAGTACAGCTTGATAACTCTTTTTTTGATCTCTTGCGTTTCTAGTGATTTTGAAGTTTCAGTAGCGATGATATTGTTTTTACAGGATACTGTTGCTTGCCTTCACACCCAACCTTCTCTGTCTTCCGGATTCACCATCGCCTAGCAAACTAGACAGTGTTTAGAAGTGCGTCGGCCTGCATACGAACCTTGATCCCACGTGTGTAGTTAGCCAAAATTTAACCATTGAACCACCGACTCATAATTCAACCATTTCCATCATATAATTTAGGTGTTTTGTGGAATAGCTATTTCAAATTTCAAAACTAATCTTGGTAACACGCATGATTTACTCGTTCGGATTTCTCATCTTTATAAATTTATCAGATATGTAGTCATTCCACTTCGACATGGCAATATCTTCTACTGATAGTTTTACAAACATACGTGGATGTAATATATGTTAGGTTAAATTTGTGCGTCGGTGGCACAGCGGTAGAATGCTCGCCAACCACGCATGTGGTCCGGGGTTCGATCCCCGGCCGACGAACTCCTTTACCTCGCTAAGCCAGTAATAAAAAAAGCTGGTAAGGTGGAAAGGTTGGACATGAGGCTAGCAACCCCATCCTGTAAAAATAAACACTGCTACAGAAACTTCAAACCCCTAGGTTGAAGCCCTATGTTCCACTGGGAACGTGAAGGAATGAAAAAAGGTTAAATTTAGTTCTATCAACTGTCTTAAATATTTCTATGCTGTAAAACCAATTTGTTTTCTTTTCAAATAAAATTTGGAAGCTATTTTGCCTATATTTCAAGGTAGACTTCATGCTGTTCTATCAGTCCTTTATGCAGTAAATCCATCTTTTTTCCCCATCGCTGTCGTATAATATCAATTGTCAGTGGATGCTTCACAAAATATGCTTGAGAAGTGAAATATCTTCTCTCTGTAGCTTAATGGTTATTCTTCTTATACATACATTTTATTTCTTATTGTTACTTATTTTTATGTCTACAGAAACCGGAGTTATGGCCTACCGTAGTATGTCCCATTTAAGACGACTTTTAACATGTAAGTTCTTGCTATTTAATGTGGATCAAGTGATTTTGCTGTTATTATTTTTTTTACTTCTCATCAATCCATATTTATCTTAACTAAATTGTAATCGCATTGAATGAAGCTAAACACCGACCAGACTGTAGTCGTTTTACTCGATTACTCGATTATGGATGTGAGACCTGGCTATTAAGAGTGGAAGACATGAAAAGATTAGCTGTCTTTGATCATAGGTGCCTGCCTTCTATCTCCCGTGTGAAGTGGTATAATAGGGTGAGCAATATTGAGGTTAGGCGTCGAGTTCTAGGTAAGGAGAGGAAATCAATCGACGAGGCTATGAAACTACATCGACTGAGATGGTTAGGACATGTGTTACGTATGCCTAGTCATCGCCTTCCTCGACGGGCAATGTTAGCTGACATAGGGGTCAGGCTGGAAAAGAGCTAGCGGCGGTCAAACCAAAACATGACTTCATCAGTCAATGAAATCCACAACAGTTAGTTTAAGCCAGCCACGTAGGAAGGTGTAGACTTCCTGGTTGGGGTCCTCGGGACGGTAAAAACAAATGACTGGAGACAATCGGTGATATGGCTCAAAATCGTTCTCAACGGCTTACGCAGATGCATCTACTCCTTGTCACTTATAATTTCTAATGAAACTATATTGTTCTTCGTTATTACTATTCCTTTTGTCTCATATCCCTGTCTACTGTCTCTATTTTGCATTTCTTCTACTTTCTTCTCTTGCTTTGTGTGCTACATGGAGGTGTGTGGCGACTCGAACTACTGCACAACGGTGCAAAGTTCTATGTTGAAAACTGACAGACTCGATTTTCACCGTATTTGTCATCAGTATATATGGGGGATTAGTTTAATTTGGCGAATCCATCTGTAAAAGCTAAACAGTCCCTTTATTATGTTCCACGTCTAGCGTTTGATACATAAAACATTGACTTGTTCACAGCTCTTACTAACTGAAAAAAGCATTAAGGATATATTAGCTAACTCAATATAAAATAATTAAACTTTGAATACAACTCTTGAAAAATAAGTAGATATGTACTGTTCCTAAGAAATGACTAACGTACATAAACAGCATCTGGATTTCGTTAGTGAGTACTATTATTTGGTTCTTAAAACTTGAATCGGGTCTAGTGGCTGAATGGTATACGAGCTTGCCTTGCAACCTGAAGGTCCTGGGTTCGAACCCTGACAGTTGGTGCCTACTACCGATGATTCCCAAACTAGGATGAAACAGCTGTCCAGTATTCCCTGGTTTTCAATGGTTCTCTAACTGATATCAATCCGTGATCAACTCGTAAAAACAAAACTAATCCTTACAAACTAACTATAGAACTTTTAAAGTTTATCAATAACCTAAATTATGATTTCGTCCTCCGGTTCTTGTGTTCGATCTTTAATTTAAAGAAAAAATACAGATTTTTAAAAGTTTTTATTTTTGATTGTAGGGTTCTCGCCTGGTTATCGGGACATGGTAACATCAGGAGACCAAGAGCCATGGACTTTCCGAGGTGGATTAGTAACAGAACTCCAGGTAAATTAATTTTTCTCTCTCTCACCTTTTATATTGATAAGTTCCTGCTGTATATGAATTATGAAACGTCAGGTGTTTCTTCAAACATGACAGATGAAGAAATCTGATATTCAACTTATAGCCTGTTTGATTAGAACTTCACTAAACTCTTTTAGTCTCATCATCCTGTGTAAACAAGGGGACCCAACATATCGACCTAGAAGTGCTGTATTAATAGAAAGTCCAAGATACAGTTGCTATGTATATTACATGCTGAAGTCTAATAACACGGTCTCTCAAGCCATTACATTTATTGGTTTCTCACAGGTAGTCGTAATGTGCTTACGCAGATTAGTTTATTTCTCAGCTTTCAAACGACAGTTCTACATTCTTGGGGGAATATTTTTACTTCCTTCGGTGAGGAAACAGTGAACATTATGGGAGTTGCTTAGAGTATGACTATTTGGTTTTGGCGTTCGGCTTTCGTATAATGGATCCTCCATTCAAATCTCACTTTTACCTATTTCGGTTCCGGCAACAGGATAGTATTACAATTTATCACAAGTTAAGCGTGGATTGTAGTAGTCTAGTATATCAACTGATATTTTGGGTTACTAATTATTTTAAGAAATAATTAATAATTTGCCATTCCGGTAACATCTTGATATTCAGCTGCTTACCCAAAGAGGATGGTGTCTGAGCGGCTGTTCATTTTGCCTTACTTTACTCCTATAACTCGTGGTGAAAACCTGGAGTTTTTTGATCATAGGTGCCTTAGATGAATAACTCGTGTTACGTATAGTGACATGTTATAACGAGGTTAGACATTGGTAACAAGGATATGAAGTCATTTAGTGGGGCTGTGAAGATTTTTCGATTGTAAGTGGTCTGTTTTGCGAAGTAGATATATTCCACCATTAGGCACTTCCACTATAGGTGTCTCAAAAATACAAACGTTGGAAAAAAAATGGCATCACAGTCAAAAAGCTGTGGTCTGCATTCATAAAAGGTTCTTGTGTACCAAACACTACCCAAGGTTTCTCTGCGTAAGCTTTCAAGATATTCTCAAATTCCTAAGAGGTGTCACTGTGTAACAAATAATTCCAAGCCACAGTTCTATTCAAAGTATCGAATGCAATTTTAATATCAAGAGATAAAACAATTGGAGGATTTCATCATGAGCTGACATCAGTTAGAGAACTATCGGAAAGCCTAGGAGCACTGGACATCTGTTTCGTCCTGACCTGGGACTCTTCATCGGTGTGCACCCACCTCCAGAGTTCGAACCCAGCACCTTCTGGTTACAAGGCGAGCGGGCTCGTAGACCATTACGCCACTGGAACCCGATCCTATGGCCCGCCCATGAATTTAAACTTCTACCGATTCTCCGAATAGCGCTGAATGTCTTGAATTGACCAGATGTTTTGTCACTGAACTATATACCCGTTTTCGTTCTCCTTTTACTAGTCAGGCTTGATAGTGTTCACGAGTGCGTTTTTCAAGTTGGCGCATGGTATGGCCGATGTACTCACCTCCACAGGAGCAAGTAAACTGGTATATGCACGTTGAAGTGACCCAATGCGACAGTGTGTCTTTCGCGTTCTGGCTGAACAGTTTCTTGCAGGAAAACGTTAGTAGTAGACTCACGGCGAAGTATGTGTTCCTCGGAGATTTGCAGAAGCGTTTAAGAAGGATTTCTGCTTCAGTGTCACCTTTGAATTGTAGATTAAGCAGAAGTATCTTCTTCGGGACGGACTGAACTTGTTCGGAAGTCTTCTTTGATTTGAGGTTCTTGTCTGTGAACCTAGGTGGAAAACCGTTTTCTATCAGGGTTCTTCGGAGATCACTCAGTTCTTCATCAATCACCTCCCCGCTGCATATCTTCCGAATCCTCGAGAAAAGAGCGTACATCAGGTTCCTCTTTCTGCTTAGGAGCACAAAGCTTTGAAAGTGGATGAATTGTCCAGTCCCTGTCGGCGTTTCTTGTCAGATGGACATCGAGAAAGTGGAACATTCCATCGGATTCGACTTCAAGAGTAAAGTCGATGTTTTGGTGGGCATTGTTGAATGTTTGAAGTAAGTTTTCAAGGTTCAGGTTCTCATCACAAATAATAAAAGTATCATCAGTGTATCTCTTGTAGAGACATAATGATTGTTGTGCGTCGGTGGCACAGTGGTCAGACTCTCGCCGACCATGCACATGGTCCGGGGTTCGATCCCCTGCCGACGCATACCCGATATCTATGGTCGGCCTGCAAAATTTGGGCTACCGATATCCATGCTGAAAATTCCATACTTGTACTGAAAATACGGTGTGGCATCAAGCTGTAATCAAAAATAAAATAAATAATGTATGTGCTTAAGCAACTCGTAGAAAGTGTTCACATCCAGAACAAAATCCACTTTACTCGTCAGAAATTAAGTTTTTAATGCGTTCTGGGAGGGCATGAAAGCAACCAGTATTCTGAACGCAAAAACTTACGAATTAAAGTCATAAAACAGAAAAAGCACGGTTTTCAGCCGTCGGAGGATGTCCATGTATTCCTTATGACCATTGGTCTGAAATTATGTAGCTTGTCAACATTTTTAAGCAGATGCTATGAATCAAATTGTTACGTGATTATAAGTGTTTTGGCATATGCTTTCATCTGTTCATTTTATTATTAACTAATCTTCCATGTAGACGTATTGAACTTAATTCACACAAAGAAGAAAATAAACTCCTATGCACCCTCTACTAATCCAGAACATTTAGAAACAATAAGAGAATAACGCATGAAGTTACTAAATGCTTTCGTTCTTTTATAGAACACTCCTGTGGCTCTATGAAGCACATGCAATTCCCTAATTGCTATTCCCTCCTCCCTTACCTAAAATTTCGTAGCATTTTTCTTAGTCTTTCAATATGGTGCTCACTGTTGTCTTTATGTTATTATGAGTTGCATAAAACTCCACCCAACTTTTCAAACTGGGGATTTTTAATAGACAAGTTTTCGTGTTTTTTCTCTCTCGCTTGTTTAGCGGATTTTACCTCTTGAATCTGCTCAAGATCTTTTCCCCGCTCCAAGTCGTGCTGTACCAGGTATGACTACAATTCCTTGTTTGAATTGGCCCGATGCTGGACAAAATCTGTGTGCTCCACTCCCTCCACCGGTTCCTTCAATAATCCCATTTCAACCGCCTAGTCTGCCCATATTTTCAAGATATCCTTCTTATGTTGTTCGACCCTATCGACCTGAAGATAAACCAGTTATGTACAGTCTCTTCAGAAAACTGCTTTTAGCTCGTGTTGGTTTACCTGAAAATTCACTACCACCAGAGTTCCATGATTTACCAGGTGATAAGTAAGTGAATATGTATGCATATGCTCGCCAAATATTATTTTCTTTGTAAACGTATTTTCAATGCATGGTTTACATAAATTCATTTCAACATTATTTGGGTTACGTAACCATTTTCAGAGAAATGATAGCTACTTCAGCGCTTGAGAAATCCTGCATTATATGAAGTGTATGCCTTGGAAAATGTGTTTCAAATATGAACGGCTTTCCACGAAGGATTGTTATGTTGTCAGATTTCAAAATGTTGGCCACCATTTTCTCTATCTGGCTTGGATACGTAGTCGTTCTAAACATCCGTGGTTAATTGATTTTTTGAGGTGTTTCTTTTTGAATTTCCACAAATTATCGATTGCTTACTATTATCTTACTCTCAGGTAAGTAATGCAAGTAATGTAACCTCAGAGAAACTAACTAGCGGCTACAGGATGTGGTCAGTAAAATTTCATTTTTATTTGGTGAGTGGGTGGGTAGTTGGAGTTTGTCTACACCTACAAAAGATTCATTTTACCTTAGTTTCGATATCATTAAGTGGTAGAGTGTGTTGACCACTTCAATTATTTGGGAAGTTGATTCAACCCCAACGGACTGCGACTGCTGACGAAATCTCAGTACGGATACTAAGTGCTTGTGTGGTATTCGCCAACTTACGTCATCTTTGGCGTAGACGGGACATCTGACTATCGATCAAAGGACGTGTGTACTGCCCAGCAGTGCTCACTGTCCTCGTTTATGGTTGTGAGATCTGGCCATTGAAAGTGGAAGACATGAAAAGGCTAGCTGCCTTTGATCATAGGTGTCTGCCTTCTATCTTTCGTGGTATAATAGGGTGAGTAATATTGAGGTTAGACATCAGTCGAGTGCTAGGTAAGGAGAGGAAATCAATCGACGAGGTTGTGAAGGTACATCTATTGAGAGAGATGGTTAGGACATGTGTTACGTATGCCTAGTCATCGTCTTCCTCGACAACGGGCAATGTTAGCTGACATAGGGTCAGGCTGGAAAAGAGCTAGTGGCGGTCAAACAAAAACATGGCACCAGTCAATGAAATCCACAACAGTTAGTTTAAGCCAGCCACGTAGGAAGGTGTAGACTTGCTGGGTGGGGTCCTCGAGATGGTAAAAACCAATGGTTGGAAACAATCGGTGAAATGGCTCAATATCGTTCTCAACGGCTTGCGCAGATGCATTCACTCTTTGTGATTTATAATGTCCAATAAAGTTCTATTGTTCTTCCATATTACTTTTCTTTTTGTCTCACATTTCTGTTTATTATCTCTGTCTTTACTCTCTTCTCTTGCTTTGTGTGCTACAAAGAGGGAGTGTGACAACTCGAACTGCTGCACATCTGTGCAAAATTCTATGCTGAAACCAGTCGATCATTAAGTGGCTTTATGCATGATATTCTATGGTATTTGAGATGACTGATTTGTAGTGGACACGAAATATAAATGTTAATAAGTTATTTATTTAAAATTGGGTACTTTATGCAACAAATAATATCACCGTGGTTACAATAAGCAGAATTAGCCTAACTTCGCCAAGTTTTTATCATCTGGTCGCGTTTATGAAGCGGCTACTTAGTGCAATGACATTTTCTCGTAACGTTTTTGAAAATCATGCTAATAAGCGTATTTAAATATGTCTAGCCGACATTTATTGTCAAGATTATTGGATTCTCCATCTAGAAACGAATACTCACGACTGTGAACCAGTATGCTCATTATTTTTCTAAACTGTTATATCTGTAAAGCGAATCACCAAACAAGTAAATCCGTTGTCACTTACTCTTGCATTCTACCCTTGCACCGTGAAGAAGAAACTCCACTGTCGTTAATTTCATCTAATACAATAATTACTGGAAATTATTTTGTTTGTTTTCTAAACTCTACTCGTCTAATCATCGTCAATCGCTTTCTACTATTGTATGTATAAATCTTTTACATTATTTCCACTGGATTTATCTTTTTGTTTTGCATTTTAGATACTTACTTCCGTTCCTACAACATTCACCTGAAAATTGTTTTATGGTTTTTGGTCCACCTTTTCTTCAAGCTACTGCTGAGTGTTGCAGTGATAGTAGTCGTACTTGTCACTCAGTCACAAACTCTGATTACTCTACATCAGCTCAGTGTGTAGGTTTTGGTGTTTCAGCACCTGATGCTGTATCATGGGCTCGTGAACGTAACACTCAACATCGTGAATCAATGAAATTGAAATATCCACGTGACCTTCAGATTTATGTACAAGATTTAAGTCAGTGTAACAAACCGCCAGTCTGTGGAAATAATGAGACAAACAATACTAATCCAAATACAAATGTTACTCGATTGGAACCTCCAGTAATTTCTTCTGCTCCTCCTTCTCCGTTGACAGAAGATCGTTCTCCGACGAACAGTTCCAATCGAACTACTGTAGCTGTTGAAGAATTTATAAAGGTTAGTAAAAGCAGTAATAAATAATAATAATATCACCCCCTTTTCTGATTTGTAATATTCCACATGCTGTTATTTGTTTCCACTTTATGTTTTCATTTGGGCTGGATCTAAACTTCAAGAAATAATTCTTGACATTACTGTGACGTTTAATGAATTGGTAGAAGTTAGAATTCATGAGCCATTGAATCGGGTCCCAGTGGCATTATGGTATACGAGCTTGCCTTGTAACGGGAAGGTCCTGGGTTCGAACCCCGATGGGTGCGTACTGTCGATGAGACAGCTGTCCACCACTCCCCTGTGTTCAATAGTTCTCTAACTGATATCAATCCATGATCAACTCGTAGAAACAAAACTAATCCTTGCAAACCAACTATGGTAAAAGGTATAAAAAAATAACAATGAGGATCGATAGAGTGGAACTTCAGTATACTAATTAACCAAAGCAAAATCTACTAGGGAAGTTTTTCTTTCACAATAGATTGTGTGTAAACACAACATTTAAAGTTGTTTAAAACTCCGACCAACTCTAACATATGTTGCCAGCCACTCTTCACTATGTTTTGGTAAATTTGTCTAACTGACAATTTATTTTGTTTATTTTTCTAGTCTTTAATTTGCTCCTTTCACAATGATGCCTCTGAAGTTGTTGACATTGCTGCAGCTGTAAACATTCTACCTCCTCCGGAACCTCTTGGCGGTTGCCTTTCCATGGAACCACCACTTTCTGGTTGTTTGGAACCATGTGAGTCTGCTGGTGCAGCTCCAAATATCTCTTCCAATCTACCGTCTCAGTTGGATCCGAAACCGTTTCCTGTTGAATGTGCACCTTCAATCCCACCTCTTCCATTACCTACGCCTATTTTACCTGATACTGCACCACCATCACCACCGTCTGGTGCATGTGTGCCTTTGGTGCCAGAAACATGTTCTAGTAGCCCAGCGACAACAAACTCAACAATTGCACGCAATCTTATTGCTGCTGGTGGAGCGGAAGCACTTCATAGCGCTTTAGCAGCTCATCCTGCTACTCTATGGGTAGAATTTGATGATATAGGACTAAATGGTTGTGCAAGTGGTCCTACGCCTGCCATGCTATTCAATCATAATCTTGGGTTGTGTACTGATCCACCTGAGCTACTGTTGGATTCAGTCGCTCGGCGACTATTTATCTGCTTGTTGGCTGCATTGAAAACTATCGGTGCTCATGTAAGTATCACTTGTATCATTTGTTAACTAAATTTTACATTTGTTTATTATTATTGTTCCCTTGGGTTCCTAGTGGAACATAGGGCTTCAACTGCACGTTTCCACTTGCTTCTGTCTTCTGCTGTACTTTTCACTTGCATCCATGTTAGTCCATACTGTTTCAGCTCCTCTTCACACGATCTCCTCCATGTCACCCTTAGACGTCCCACTCTCCGCTTCCCTTTCGGGTTCCACTCGAGGGCCTGACGCGGCCTTCTCAGCGAGTGTCCAATCCATATCCACTTTCTCCTGCATATTTGTTGGGCGATTGGTGCTTGTTTTGTTTCTTCCCATAGTTTCTTGTTGGTGATTCTTTCCGGCCATCTGATCTTGAGTATAGAACGAAGACAGTTGTTGATAAAGGTCTGCAACAGGCTGTTGGAAATATTCTTTGTGACCCGCCAAGTTTCTGACCCGTATAGAAGAAGTGACTGACTTGACGTTTGTATTGAAAATCTGAATTTTGTTGTTAATGCTGAGTGACGAAGATTTCCAGATTGGTTTCAGGTTGATGAATATGTTTCTCGCCTTCCCGATTCTCGATTTGACATCCTCGTCCGTTCCTCCTGTAGTTGAGACAATGCTCCCTAGATAAGTGAAAGAAGTAACCTCTTTCAAATCCCTCCCGTTGATGGTGATTGGCGCTGGATGTTGCTGCTGCTGCTGTTGTTGTTGGTTGGTTATTTTCATAATCTCCGTCTTGTCTATGTTCACCTGGAGTCCTGTGTTTGTTGCTTCTTCGACCAGTTTGTCGGTTTTCGCTTGTAAGTCTTCGATTTTGTGTGACATCAAACATAAATCATCCACGCACGAAATCCAGGTCTTCTAGATTCTTCACTTCGGTCCAGGATATCCCTGTCTTCTCGTTTCCCACTGTCTAACGACGCATAATCCAGTCCACCACAATTAGGAATATCATTTGTGATAATAAGCACCCTTGTCTGACTCCTGTATTACATTTATTTACTGGAAATTATATTCTTGTATTATTGCTCCTATCGCCTGACTTTGAATGGAATGATTTATTTATGAGGCCAACTGCTTAATCATCTTATACATTATCGCATTTTGGAATATCTAATTTAAGAAGTACCTCTCAGGTGTTTTGGTTTTGGACCGATCGCCTTATTATTTAAGAAATCGGATTTATATTAACTATCCTGGAGGTAGTGTGTGCATAAAAATATATCGAATAAGTGATGCTTCATATTAATATAAATTTATGTATACCATTTTCATTTTGAGGCGGCTACATTAAAATTCTTACCGTATATTTTATAGTTTTTAGCAATAAAATATCTTCAAAAGAATTGACACTGAACAAAGAATACTGTTTTCGATAACTTCATCATCAGGCTCTACAGTTACATATACATTATAGTGAATGAATGAATTAGTGTTATGAACAACATTAATGTTTAAATGACATCGAATCAACAATATTGATAGATTACAGCTCAATAGCATCAACATAAAATAAGCTGAATGTCAGAAAAATTAGGAAAGATAATATTACAGATTCATGAATTTATAGTCTCTACTGAAGGCCAGGGCAGTAGTAGGGGCTGGACTTGCTTCTTTTGAATACAGAGCACTGGTTGTTTGAGGCGAATTGCAATAGCCTCTGCTGTTTGGAGCATGCGGTGCTTCGAAGATTTTGGTATTTTGTTAGGCACCAGGTATATTATAGAGGATTCTTCCACACTGGCTTTGTAGCCGGTTTGCACCAGATGGTCCAATATCGAATTGTTAATGGTTTTCACTACACCTTTACTTAGCCATAGTGGGATATGTTCTCGAGCACGAAAAATCAAGTTCCTAGAGCAACGGCCAACATAACTCGATCCACAAGCGCAGTTGAATTGATAGATACAATTTGAAGTGGCTAGTCTAGGTACTTCATCTTTCAGTCGAGGTAGCACCATCGGTTGTGTAGAGAATAATACGTGTATTTCTCCAACATTAAAAGTTCTTTGAACTGATTTTCTTAATTTCTTCGTAATTATCTCGCTTGGTATATCGCCCTTGAATTGTAGTCGTATATAAAGAGGCTTCTTGTTTACAGACAGCTAGTAGTCCTTTTCGGCTTTCTTTGTCATGTGTTTCTTGATAAATTTTTCGGGATAGCTATTTTCGATCAAAGTATGATGTACAATGCTTAATTCATCTTTAATTACTTCTTCAGAGCATATAGCTCTAACTCTGTGGTGTTAAAGAAACAACAAAATAGCATTTGAAATTTATATTGGGACTCTTATTACCACTATTAAAAAACAAACTTGGTACATTACGGGCACTAACGGATGAACTACAAGAAATTTCGTAGTTTGTACCGAGGTCGGGATGCTGCCCATAAGCCTAGATCGAAGCAGGTGGTTGTCTTGAGATGAACTCCCCCCCCTCCGCACTTCTGACTTGAATTTTGATCCACAGAGGAGTGGAGTAGCTTCAAGAGCCATATTCCCATGGTTTCCGGTGACCAAAACAGGTCCAAATGTCATTCGATCCTTTAAGATTCTGAAGCCCATATACACCATAGGTCTGGAATCAGGGTTTTCTAGCGTATCCACCTGTCCAATTGTGAACACTAGATGTTCGCATCCGCCTTTTCACTTTTTCGAAGGACTCCTCTGCCATATGAAGGCATTAAATAGGACTTACCTAGCAGAGGCTATGAACCCTTTTAGCCACATGAGAGCATTTCAAGAGGAAAAACAAAGTCTACCTACAATCGGTCCCACGAGGTCGTTTATGGAGGCATTGGGATTCTTAGTTTGTGTATATCATCTAGTTGATAAGTGCTAATAAGCAAAAGACCTACATTTAGAATTTCATTTCAACTTAATTACTAACAACTAACTCCGAAGTACAATGCAGGATAGACTTGTATCGACTACTGTATCCAGCATACGCATACTTGATTAGTGAATACCAGTTTGGGTTGAAAACAGTAGTCACTATCTGGTGAGCTGTTCGTATACGTTATTTTATGTATTGAGAGATAATTTTATGTTAGAATTCCGCTATCAATTTCATAACCATAGTATCCATCACAGCTCTGGAGTGGGTCAATTGCGAACATGAATAGCTAGCTCAGTGGTGACGTTTCTGACTTCACGACTGGTTGATACGGGTTAAGATCTCAGAAGGTACATAAGTTGCTTCAAGACTTCAGATACGTCTTGCTGTGACGAGTGATAGCATGCACGAAACCTAGATTCAAGGCCTCCTGCCGATTGCATTCAGCCATCTAACTAAAAGTAGTGTTAAGCATACACATATTTCCCACATCACTTAGCATAATGTGATAGGATATTACAAGTCATTGGGGTCACAGCTGGTGCATTCACAAGACAATGCTTAAGTTTTGAAATAATAGAGAAGATTTGTAGCTCAGGTGGATGATTTGCAATTAAAAGTGTTCTCTGAGCTGGTTGGTTTAGTCGCGAAGCTTTCGTCGTCCTTCCGGACAACATCTTCAGCGCCAATAGAAAGTGGTCAATACATATGTGAAGATAGTAACCAGGAGACGCAATTACATCACACATGAAGAAATTTAAATCATTTCACTTTGTGCTAAATATGGCGCTGAAGATGTTGTCCGGAAGGACGACGAAAGCTTCGCGACTAAACCAACCAGCTCAGAGAACATTTTTAATTGCAAATGCTCAAGTTTGTTAATACGAATTAAGTTGGCAAAGGTTCATACCTTTCAAAGTTTTTCTTCATTTGCATTTCTTAGTTTTTTAAGGGTAGTTTAATTTGACTAAAGTTTCGCTTTTTTGTTGTTGTTTTACTACATTTCATTTCAGGGTGCACATGCTCAACTGGATTCTATCAATGAACATCGTGCAGAACTTTATCGCCGTTTCGGTTTTTATCCTGTTCCAGCAGCTTCAACTGAACAGACAACTGTATTGGCTCGTTTAATTTAATTTAATCCTAATGGGGAGGGGAGGGGGAATCTATTCTTTAAAAACTCATATAATGAATGAAGTCGTTTAATCTCTGTCCTCATCACATAATCCCTTCCGTCCTTCCTTCCTTTCTCCACGCTTCATATCATTATTATCCAGTGTGTGACTAAAATCATTGTTTGATAATCACTACCACCTACTGCGGTGTGGGTGGGTGGTTGACTGTAGGTAGGATTGTATGATATATGCTCCTGTAGATGATCTCTCTTTACAATTAGGATTTATAAAAGTAATATGTGTAAACATACATACATATACTTGTAATCAAACTCTCTTCTTCACAATCAAAAATATTTCTTGATAGCTTTCAAAAGTCAAGTCAAAAAGGCGAAATTTTTAATCCAAAGAAAAATCTAGTTTATTCTTCATTTTTTTTAAAACAAAATCAATCCTAACTAATATTCTATCCGAAATCGGTAAAAAAAAACACAGAGAGAATAAGTTTTATTCTCTGTTGTCATTTTTACAACACCATGACGATTGTTTTTATTCATACATTGACTAATATCATTATTATTATTTTTTTCTTAGTCATTGTTTAAATCCTTAAATTTGAATTTTTTATTTTGATCTCCAGTTTATCTGCTATGATATGATGATCTCCAGTGTCTTTTCTCTTTCTGTCTCTATGCCTATCATTGTTTTGTTGTGTCTATGTGTGGTGTATTACTGCTTCTTCTTGTAGTAATATAATGATTTTAATATATATATATTGGATTAAAATAGTCCGTTTCTTACTTTCAATATAAACGCGAGAACGGTATACGCCTAAGTAACAGTATATCTCCAAGTTTCCAGACCGTAGGTGTTATGAACTTCTTGGAATAATTTCAGCGTCGAGTCAGATCGATTCATTATAAATTAAATTCATACATTTATTCCCCTTAATGAATTTGAACAAAAAGCAAGAACTACAGTTTTTGCAGAATGAAGTGCTATCATCTTTTATTTCGTTGCCTTCTCTTCAGCTGCTTACAGGCCAAAGACATTATTGAATATATCTACAAAAGCAATTTTAACATACTTGCACATAGTTCATTTTAAACAAAAATCAATCAATATACGCATACACTAATAATATATACATATATATGCAATATTAAACACAATTCCGAACAATAATAATCATACACAATGAAAACTTTTCAGCATCTCGCATTCGGATGAAAAACATCCAGCTACCAGGGCAAAGAAAGACTGATAACCGCTTCTTTCTGAACGCATAAATCAGGTTTCAGGCGCTTGATGGAAATGACTTCAGCAAACTTGAGCTCTTTTCCCTATTGATAATTATGAACGACTTTTCAACGTCCACCTCATGACCCGTGTCGAGGAGATGCCTGGTGATGGCACTGTTTAAGGCATTTGTTCCCTTTAGACGTAAGTTTTTCGGTACATGTTCAGAAAATCGTAGATATGCCCTTTCTTTCTGCCCTTCCAATGTAACTGCTCCCGCAGATACATGCAAATTTGTATATACAGTTGGAGTTAATATTAGAAGGATATCTATCGATTTTTGATTGCACCAAAAGGGCAAGTTGTACGATAGACGGGGGCGAGCTTAGCTGTAGGATAGGCTATGGCTAGTGATGTACTCAGCCTTCTGTTGATCATTGCTACAATGTTTTCACCTTTATAATCAAGCTGAATGTAGATTGGCTTTTTACCCACTGAGATTTGTTTACATTTGTGACTTCAGATCTTCCATACTTGTTGATGAACCTTTGAGGGTACCCATTGCTCTTCAACATCTTTTCAAGAAACTCAAATTCTTCCTCTAATTTCTCTATTTCTAAAGGGAACAAATGCTTTAAACAGTACCACCACCACGTCATGAGGTGGACGTTGAAAAGTCGTTCATAATTATCAATAGGGAAAAGAGCTCAAGTTTGCTGAAGTCATTTCCATCAAGCGCCTGAAACCTGATTTATGCGTTCAGAAAGAAGCGGTTATCAGTCTTTCTTTGCCCTGGTAGCTGGATGTTTTTCATCCGAATGCGAGATGCTGAAAAGTTTTCATTGTGTATGATTATTATTGTTCGGAATTGTGTTTAATATCACATATATATGTATATATTATTAGTGTATGCGTATATGATTGATTGATTTTTGTTTAAAATGAACTATGTGCAAGTATGTTAAAATTGCTTTTGTAGATATATTCAATGATGTCTTTGCCCTGTAAGCAGCCTACGAGAAGGCAGCGGAATGAAAGATGGTACCACTTCATTCTGCAAAAACTGTAGTTCTTGCTTTGTTCAAATTCATTTTAAATTATTTAAATTAGTCCCAGCGTGTTTAAGAAAAAAATCAAAACATGATATTTCTGAACGTTTCCCTGTGGTATTTGGATAGTTGTGTTGTTAGAAGACGGAGATTTATTTTGCGCCATAGATTTCGAACAATCTAACCATACATTTACTAGTAGAGTCAATTTATATGGAGAAAAAAAAGGGGCAATTAAAGTACACAAAGGGACTAAAAGGATTTAAGAATAATTAACACAACGTTTGGTTATCCAATCATATCAGGATTGCCAAGGTAGGTTAAGAGTAATAATAAGTTGTTTTTGAAAACACAGGCAGGCTTAGGCTTATGAATAGCTATAGTCTCAGCGTATTTCAATTAAGCGTCCTTGACCCTGTTTATAGATGACCTTAAGAGTTGTACTGATATCCGTCTTATTATTCATATCGATTAGATGTTTGGCTATAGATGAAGTTGATAGTCTGCCCCCTGCGTTTATTGATTTTCCAAAGTTCATCTGTTTTTCTAACCATTTTGGAATATACACTCCCACCCAAATATGCAAAGCGCGATAACTCCTTTCTATTTATGCGTGTCCACACACACACACATGTAAAGTGGTAAACATCCTAATTTATAAAAGGAACTTTTGTTTTTAAATGATATTTATTCTGGTTGAAGGTAATTTGAAAACAATCTGGATAATGGTAGTTTTAATTGGGGAGTTATTACACAGTGAATAGAATAAATACGTTTCACTTCTTCAAAAGGGCTAACCACAGTCACTAAGATCATTTTTTAAAACTGTGAATTGTAAATAGTTAGGCAGGACAAATTTAAAGCTTTACAGGGATCATACTACAAAATCGTAAATTACTATGGCTACTTATTGAAACCAAATGCTTTCAAAAGTAAAGTTTGTACCGTTCTTTTTTTCGTGTCATAGGCTTACAAAATCTGTTAATTTTCCTAAGTAGATTTTGCACTAATAGTCGGTTTTATACAGCTGATCTGATTTGATCCCAATTCAATAAGTAAATGTGTAGTTGCATTTTGAACTTAACCAACCGACAGTAACAACAAGCAGCACCAATCACCATCAACGGGTGAGATTAAACAGAGGTTACTTCCTTCACTTATCTAGGAAGCATCGTTTCAACCACAGGCGGATGGCACGGATGAAGATGTCAAAGCCAGCCAGAATCGGAAGAGCAAGATACGCCTTCATCAACCTGAAACCAGTTTGAAAATCTTCTACACTCCACAGCATAAAGAACAAGATTCGGGACTTCAACACAAATGTGAAGTCAGTCAGTTCTTCTATACGGATCAGAAACTTGGCCAGCGTGTCACGAAAAGGATTCCCAATAGGTTCTAGACTTTTATCAACTAAAGATCAAATGGCTGGAAAGAATAAGTAACAAGAAACGGTGGGAACAAACCAACCTAGTGAGAGCCGATTGCTCAACAAATATATAAGAAAATGGATCGGCCATACGCTGAGGAGACATCGATCGCCAGGTCATTGCTTGAGTGGAATCCGAATTGGAGACGACGAGAGGGTCGTCGGTGCAAGGAGAAGATGAGAAATTATGAACAATCTTTGACCCAGCTGAAGAGGAGAGCAGAAAATGGATCAAAGTGTAGATGTGTTGCGGAAGTCCTATGTTCCACTCGGAACCCAAGGGAATATTGATGTTATAACTCCGTCGCCAATTTGTTATAACTGAATTGAATAAATCCGTTGCTACTCTTCTATGTCTGCGCCTGTTAATTACTATAACGGTAATGAACTCGACTGGTACGCTAATACGTCTCTATTTGTCCGTTATGCCTTCCGATTCACTGAGCCACGCAAATATCAGAAGACAAAGGCTGGCCTGTGACTCTAAGATAATGTATTATACTATACTACATAGTTTAAGAAACTAACACATGATACTTATACATTTTCTTAACCATAATAAAGTCGGCTCACGACCGTGAGAATGTATTGTTCTTATTTTTTGGAAATGTCTATCCTGATGGAGGTTGGTGATCAGACAAAAATCAAGGTGAGGCAAAATGAAGATGAATTGGTCACAACTAAATCACAATATACGTGAGAAATGATACATTCACATAGTAACTCCATCACATGATAAATCTCACGATTCGTGAGAAAGGATGATATGCTACTTTATGCTGGGTCCTAATCAATTGGACGCATGAAAGATTTTTTTACTGGATAGCAATTTTAGATGACGAAGTTATCTGAAAAAGTGTGATGTATTTGCGGAAAACATTTCAAACAATCTGACCACACAAATACTTATCAAGGCTAATTAAAATGAACAAAATGTTAAGAGATTTAGGAATGAGAAGGATAATAATTTACACTACTTTTTGGTAGTATAATCAGATGAGCATTACCAAGGTAGGTTAAGCGTAATAATAAATTTTTTTTGTACACACAGGAGTCGGAGAGGGGCTTGATTTTACGAATGGCTATCTTCACCGTAACGTATTTCAGTATGCTCCCTCGATGGCTTTTAATGATAATTTTTGATGGCTGTCTTGATATCAATCTTGGGATTCACATGAATTGACTGTTTTGCTGTGAACGGATTCAGTAGTCTGCTACCTGCGTTTATCGAATTTTCACAGTTCAGCTGTTTTTCAAGCCATTTTGGCATGTAGAAAAGCAAGATGAGGAAGGTGATGTGAGTAAAGGAGAATGATGCTCAGGAAAGCTTCGTGTGCTCTTGGAAGTGTGTGGGCGGTTGTTACTTCCCGGCTGCCCACACCGTGGAAGTTGATTGGTTCTTCGGGTACCTGAAACAGAGAGAGGGTTAGTGTTGCGTGACCGCAGAGCCCAGGGGACAACTGCTTGAGGCCGGTCACACACGGCCTGTATGAACTGGTTTCTGGGATTGGTTCCGTATTAGTAAACTTACCGCCAGTTACGGACCACCGTAGGGTAAGTTGGGATGTACAATTGTTGGTGTCGACCTTTTCTAACCCCCTCTCTCTGGAGTGGAGAGACAGCATAGCTGGCATGCTGGTCATCTGAGGGAAACACCTCACTGCTGTTACACCCTGTTCCCCAGCAGTACGACTTCGCCCTCAGACCCCCAGCATAGTGTAAGAAAGATTCTTACACAATGCCGGTAACTGCTTTTAGTCTAATCGCTATCCTAACGACCTTCCTGGCATGGTAGGACCTGCAGAACATTGGTTCCAGCCAGTGCAGCTTGTTGGGTCATCGCGATGTGCAAGCCCGACCACCACGTCAAGGTAGCAGCTATCGGTCTCACACCTCAACTTACTGTCTCTATTATACATTTCTTCTCTTGCTTTGTGGGCTACATGGAGTGTGGCGACTCGAGCTGCCGCACATCGGAGCAAAGTTCGATGTCGAAAACAAACAGACAGACAGACCATTTTGGCATATGTTCTCCTACCCTCATGTGGAAGGCCTGACTACTCCTCT